TAGAAGAACTTTTAATAGATGTTAATTTTTGAAAGAACTTTTAATGAACCATGCATTAGCTGTTTAAACGGAAAGCAAGGCTAAACAACCATTTAATAAATCTAAGTCAAGAACAAAGTAAGTTTTATGGCTTGTTCATTGTCCATTGGAGGTTGTCGTTATATGCTTATATTCGTAGATTATTTTTCAAAGATAAAATTTTTATATTTTTGAAACATATATGAAGAACTTTTTTAAAGCCATGCTATAAAACGAAATTAATAAGAAAATCAGTAATATATACGGCTCTACGCATATGTTGGCCATTTATATTACTTTTAGTTTACAAGATCCTGAAATATCCACATTTGGTGGTGGGACTGGATGTTCTGGCTCTACGCATATGTTGGCCAGAGTTTTTAACTGATGTATAATGTTCTTGGTGTTTTTTTTTTCTATTCTTACGGTTTTTAGACTAGTAAGTTTAACTTAATTTGTATCTACATTGGCTCTCTTGTTAGAGTCCTGATGATGCCTTAATCGGCAAAAGCGCTTGACTGATTTTAATAAAGTGAAATTGTTCTAAACAATTTCTCCTAAACACACTTTAAATATAAAATTTTTCATTTTCTCCCAGAATGACTTTTTAGATGCCCGAAATGTTCAGATTTGCGTACAAATCGTACGTAATCGTCTTCGAGAGCATGATATACTTGCAAGGGTTCCAGCCAATGGCCCGCGTCTTACCAGAGAACATCGAGTTTGTCGTTTACAATTTGCTAGTGACCATGCTGGATGGGGTGTAGAAGAATGGTCCAATATCCTCTTTACAGACGAGTCCAGATTTTGTTTGTTCTCTTCAGACAGACGTATGCCAGTATACCGAAGACCAGGCGAGCGACATTACCAATGCAAGTTTCGTGAAAGGGAAAGTTTTGGAGGTGGGTCAATAATGGTATGGGGAGGAATATCTTTTCATGGGCGAACGGAGTTAGTAGCTGTTAATGGTGGTAGGATGACGGCTGACCGATACATAAGGGATATTCTAGAACCTCATGTGGTTCCATACGGCCCTTTTATTGGTGAAAATTTTGTGCTAATGCACGATAACGCCAAACCGCACGCTGCCGGGATAGTGCGGGAATATCTTGAGGAGGTAAATATTGCTACATTGAATTGGCCAGCTCGCAGCCCAGACCTCAATCCGATAGAGCACGTATGGGACCACTTAAGTTGGGCGATCCAGCACCGTCAAGCTCCATTCAGAACCCTTAATGAGCTTCAACATGCAATAAACAAAATATGGAACAACATGGAGCAAGAATACATACATAGGTGGTTTGAAAGCTTACCATAGCGAATGGAGGCTGCGATAAGGGCAAGAAGAGGCAATACAAGATACTATGAAAATTGTATTTTTCAAAAAAATTTCACATTTTTCGAAGAATTAAATTTTTGTAACGAAGGCAATATAAATTCTATTATGTCCGTTTTTGGTATTCTTTATTTACCCTGTACATATTAATTTAAAATGAGAAATTTTATTTTTGATTTATGTAATTACAAAGGTTCAATGTAAATTAAACCAAAACAAAAAATATTTTTAAAAAGTACATGGTCAAAATATTTAGAAATATTAGTGATGCGATAATTTTTGTGCAGTGTGTATTTGAAAGATATGTAAATATTTTGTAGGATATAGAGTATACAAAGATGGAAAAGTGACTCATGCTAGATGTTTATTTTCTAGAAAATTCAAAATGTTTAGGTAGTCTAGTCATGTGCTAACCATAGCTTCAACATCAACTTCATCTGTAATCGTAAGCTTGAAACCTGGTGTGGGTGATGTCGAGTCAAGAGGTACCAAAGATGCTACCTCCGAAGAAGAAATAACATACGAGTATATTCTCCTCTTAGAAATTGTTTAACTAAAAATAATGTGCATTATACCTGGCGTTTAAGAGACTCATGATCCTGTTATTGTATCTGAGAGGCTCTTGAAGGGACCGACAACAAATGGTTACAGGCAATCTCAGAGGAATATAATTTCTTAATTGCTTAAGCAGTATTTACATTGATAGATAAACCTAAATTGTAAGTAAACAAAAACGAATCCGAAAGAAAAACTTTAAGGTATAAGGCAAAGTTAGTGGTACAAAGAATTGCCGATTGCTTAGCTAGAATACCACTAAAAACAATACCTTTGTTAGACAAAGATGAAACTTTTGGAAATTTTATTATAAAAATGCTCGGATTAGCTTGTATATAATGATAGGATAAAGCAAGAAACGATAAATGTAACATTTTGTAAAGAATAATTAATTATATTACTAAAAATATATGGCCAGAAAAAAAGACATTACAGAGGAAATAATATCATATCTCAACAGAAGAGTGATAGAAAAAAGGATGCATATGGTGGGGACAACGTGTGTCATACATTAATGAAAAGCATGCCAGAAGCCTGCATGAATGGCACTTGGGTATAGTAAAAACCAAAACAAGAGCTAGATCATATCTGTGGTGGCCTTATCAGGAGATAGAAAAAAAGAGGCAAAATTATGTATAGGATGTTAAAAAATGCTACCAGACCCCCAAAAATAATCTGACATCGTGGCCAGTCGCTACAAGACCATGGGCCAGGATCTTTGATTTTTTAGGCTCAATACGCAATAACAATTTTCTATTGGTAACAGATGCATATTCGAAATGGTTATATGTTTTTATAGTAAGCTCTGTGACAGCTAAGGAGACAGAAACGAAACTAAGAAGAACCAAAGACAAAGGAGGTTAAACTAGAGGTCATCATTTAAAGATTTTTATTACATTACAGAAATAGTACTAAAGGTATTCCAGCATACTTGATGTTTCGAAAGAATTTTAAAACCAGATTAGATCTGGTAAAAAAGGTCAAGAAACAAGGCAAAAAGGAGGGAGAGCCACATAAAAACACATAAAGAGCAACGGTCTACAAGGGGAAGAGAGAGATAATTGCTAGAAGGTGAGACAGTGTGGTGTGAGAGACTATAGAGAAATAAACAATAAAATCGTTTTTTTATAAACTACTTTTTGTGACATTCATCTTTTTTTCCCCTGTATCCTTAAAATTTGAATTCAATCAGATTAGGACTATCCTCTCTACACACAAATTCTCATCCTATCTCAGCTCTTTCAATTCTCTTTAAAGCCACCTCTTTAAAATCGTCTAGAAGGACGATAATCTATACAGTTCATCAAATTTCTAGAGGTGTTCGATGCCCAGACAGAGAACGCGCTACGTGTGACTAAGATAGCTATTGTACTAAACAAGTTATTTTAAATAGTTTTTAATATTTTTAGGTAATTAAATTTTAAAAGTGTGGAATAGTTTAGGGATTAAATTGGTCTGATTGGACTTTCTTAGAACGTTTTTAAAAGCAGCTGAAGATAGTATGTAGAATTGAAAATAATTATTATGCCATAAAAGGTGTTTTGGAATTCCTTCAACCTTTTGAAATTGAGTCAGAAAATATAAATTTTATAGGATAGCGAAAAATACCTATAATTTTTTTGTAGGCCTTTGTAAATCGTGGAAATAATTTATATTTTATTTCTACCTTATTAAGAAAAATGGTACCTATTATTAATAACGGTTGTTTCTGAAACATTACTAAAATTTTCGAAATTTTGTTTTTCTACAAAATAATAAACTATACTATTTAGAAAAAAATTGATTTCTCTTATAATTTTATAAAAAATAATATTTACATTTCTTGATCTATTAAACAAAACGATAAATTATCTCGACGAATGACACCATGTTCTAGTACGGAAGCTAGCTTTACATTTTTGTTGGTGGTTTCATGGGTTTCATATCAATTTTTTGTAATTGTAAGTTTACACGTACATATACCTCTTAACACTTGTTTGCTTTATTAAAAAAGTGTGTTGTTGTGATTTACGTCGAAATAAGTCAAAAACAACTTGAAACCCCATATAAAATCAAAAAGGAGAAACGGAAAAAAATTGAGCCTGTAAATGAACACAACTCAGAAACAAAAATAGCTATCTAATAATAAAAAAATAAAATTTGATTCTTGTGCAGCTTCATCTATATCGTTAACTGTTTTTGGTTTTTTAATGGTTTTTCTTGGTGATGAAAATTCCGATATCTCACGGTTATCGATTCTTTTTTTCTCTCCAGAAATGCGGACGACAGTGTTTTTAAATACTCCTGTGGCAGCAGCAACACGATCATTTACATTTTTAAATGGTATTGAAGGTGAATTAAAGTTTCCTTCTCTTCTCATAAACTCTATAACATTGGCTATTATTTCGCGAGATTGACTATTAATCACGCGGCCTCTTAATTTGCTATTAAACTCCATACTTAGGTTCTATTAAACTGTAATGAGCAAAAAACACAAACGAAAATAAATGAAATGTTTTAGCGAAATTTACATCTGACATTTACGTCTGAATGAAATAGTGAAATACTTGATGCGCAGAGTGTACTTTCATTGCGTAAATCCGTCGGGATGCCTGTCAGTAGTGCTTTCTCTGTATAGCCGTCGAAAGCCTCTAGAAATTTGATGAACTGTATAATTATATTAGAACAAGATCCTTCATTCATTAAGTTTTCGAGTACGGTAACGCTGTAAACGTGAAAATATAATGAAAGAAAAGTGAAGTCGGTCGAGATAGGAAAAAAATAAAATTTTGGAAATTATGAAAATGAAAAATCTGCTGAGAAACGAACCTCATTTAAAGAATGCAAATTACACAAAGCCAGTCTCAATACTTCTCAATGAACTGCCGGAACCTCCAAAATCAAACGGGAACTATTTAAATTTCTGGATGGAAAAAAATGGCTTGAGCTCTTTGAATGATTTTCCTATTAAAAAAAAGTACTCGAGTCCAATTTATCAGTACCCAGTCCAACTTTTATAAAACAGTTTCACCTGATGCTTACAATGTTTGGTTCAGATAAATAATAATCATAATAGAATAAAATATCAATTTATTAAAAATTTGATAACATTCTGTTAAAAATATATACATAGAAATAAATAAAAAATATAAAACGCTCTATTTTTTGCTTATTACAAATTCAATCAATTAGTAATCACAAAAAAAAATAATAACGGGTTACATAGCATAAACTTTTCGAACTCTATACAAATCATTCAACTGAGAGTCCGAGTTAACCAAACGTTTGGAATCCAAACTAGTAGTTGGATTGTCGTTGGTTTTTTCTTCGAAATATTTACAAATCTCTCTAACAGCACCACTGTAGGAATTTAAATTGCTCAAATCGTGGAGAGATCGAGCACGTTTTGTGCCGGTATCCACCACCTTCAGAGAGACGTCTTCGGTACTTCGAACTTTTCGTCTCAGTTTACAAAGGGATTCGAACAGGAATAGTTTCTCTTTCACGGGAACGTAGTTTTGGGTGTCCTGGCATTTCTTTAGAAGATCTTCGACGTACTTTTCTTCGACTTCTGAAGGTACCTGAAAAAAAAATCATTGAAATCATTCATTTATAATAACGGGTTTTTAAGGTTTCCATGAAGGAATAGGTTAAATTCCCGTAAAATATCGTTCAAAGTGCAAAAGGTAGTATGTCTAAAAACTGCACTTTTCAGGACAACAAAAAACTAATTTTTTTTCTTATAATTTGATCCTATAATTACAACCAGAAAACTCTTAGTTCAGCATATACTATTGAATGAACACTAATTTCGACACTATTATATTTCTTAAGAGATTTATTGAAACTGGATGAATACATTATATTTATTTTAGAAACGTCGATCTGTTATTTTCGTGTAATATGAGTTACAGAAAAGAACAGGTAAACATTCTCATAATAATTTTTAAATGAATCATTTTAATGTTTAAAAAATAAAAAAAAAATGAGATCGATATGCATACCTTTTTCGTACGAGGCGGGGGCGATATTTGATTATTATTCTCTTCACAACTTCTGCACGTGGTTTCCGACGGTTTTTCATCGATTTTGGTACAATTGAAGTTCCAGTCTTTTTCATACGTTGGTTCTCTCCTTTTCCAATAGTCGGCTATGGTGAGGATATCCAAATATTTAATGGCATCCAAAGGTGTCTGACGGATGAGTTCTATAGCAATAGTTTTCACCCATTCGCCGAATGTCTTCTCATCAGAGGTCTGTAAGGAATAAATGTGTAAGTATTTTTTCTAGAAGCGTAAATAATAATATTTATTGGCAGTAGTAAAATATAAAAATAACAAATATAATTTAGTTTTATCTAATGTGTCAATAAATTTTTACGGGGCTGAAGTGCACCTTTGCAGATTGTACAATTCATGAACTAATTTATGAATCATGAAAGCTAATTAAAAATAAAATTTTAAAGTAATAATAAAGAAGTTTTGTTACTATAGTAAAATGGTAATTTTTTTGCTAAATGGGATCAATTCTAGATTTTTACCATATTTTTTTTTAATTTTCAATTAACATGCTGTTTCTTTAGCATATGTTTCTTTTTAAATTGGTTACTAAGAAGCCTATTCCGACCTAACAAAAAATAAGGCAAGAGTACCTCAAGGTAGTGTACTAGGTCCAGTACTCTAATTGCTCTATACGAGATATTCCTAATCTTGAGCCCAATACTATCGCAACATTTGCTGATGATACTACAATCCTTGCTGAAGGAAAAACCACGAAGATGCTAATAGAAACACCTGGACGAAGAGATAACGAATAAAATTGAATGAAGGCAAATCTGTCAATATCAACTTCAGTAATAAACAAAATGAATATATTCCTATTAGAATAAACGACACTCAGATTCCCTAGCCAATACAGCAAAATATTCGGGTATGACACTTGATGCTAGACTTCGCTGAAAAGTCCATATTAAACAGAAACGCGAGCTTGGTTGGAATGTATTGGTTGCTAGGAAAACATTCCAAATTATTCACATACAACAAATTGCTTCTTTACAGGCAGATATTGAAACCCGTATGGACATGTGGTATCTAGCTTTGGGGCTGTGCCAGTAAAACTAACATCCATGTTATTCAACGTTTCCAGAATAAAGTTTTAAGAAACATCGTCGATGCCCAGTGGTACTCCGCAATACTGATCTTTATAGCGGACTTAAAGTGGAGACTGCTGAAAATGCAATAGAATAATTTTCCAGAAGTCACCAAAAACGACTGCTCCATCATGCCAATAAGAAGACTCAAGAGAATCAAATCTATTGAGTTAGTTTAGTGATGTTAGATAAAAGCAGATTATAGTGCGGTTTAGTGAAACTAAATAATTAGACTCTAAGGTACACTAGTGAGTAGAATCTTAGTTTATGAAGTTTTTCATCCCTGGATAAGTTGGGTTAGAATAAAATTGCTAATTGATCTTAATGATCAGATTGTAATAATCATAAATTCTTCTTTATTTGGAGAATTTATTAAAAAAATGCGTTATTTTTTTGACCTGAAGAATTAGAATTTTTTCCTTTTGGCGAGTGGCATACTGCATATATTTTTCCCTCTCCTTCCTTAACGTCCATTAAATTGTTAAGATATATATTAAATAGTAATGGTACTATTGTGATAGTTGAGGTACTCTATATCAGTGCTCCGCAACCTTTCCTCATCTGAGGCACACCAAACTGCTCCCTAAAATTTCGTGGCACACCAAAATCTAAAATATATTTATAGCAGTGGCGTAGCTAGGTCGGGGGTCAGTTCACTCCATGTATACTAATTATTTATGGATGTCCAAACTACCTTAGTTTTTTTTATTGTTTTAAAATGTGAAGAAGCCCCTTTCAGATTTGGGGCATCAAAATTTTCACTCAGGACATAATACATTTTTTTTTTTATTTTTTTTTATTATTCAGATAGAATGAAAAATACAAATAGGTACATACATGAGAACTATACTAAATACTAGGTAGGACAGGTAGGTATACTAAATTTACTTCTGTTGACACGTCAATAGTAATAAATATTTTGACATGATGATGACTGATTAATGTGATACCTGCGCTTGCTTCGTTGAACACAAAAGTTTTATATTCGGCTCAATTTTAGACAGCGCAACTCTCATTTCTTGGTCAAGATCTTTTAAGCATGACCGTTTATCATTTTTAATTAATACAAGCGTTGAAAAACTTTGCTCACATAAATATGTTGTGGAAAACGGAAGTAGTGTGAAGATGGCCTTGTCGGTGATGCGTGGATATTCTGTCTTGATGGAAATCCAGAAAACATCTAACGGAACTTCGTCGAATTTAAGTTTTAGGGTCATATCATTACTTAATTCTGTGAACTCCTCTCGAGTTTGCAATGGCAGTGCTTCCGTGGAACTTATTGCATTGGTTGCGAAAGGATTTCGAATCCAATTGTATTGTTCCGTGTTGATAGAATGGAAATAGTATTCAAATTTTTGTTGAAGCATACTTAAATGTTGTTGGGCCAAATCCACAATCAACTGCTTGTTTTCGATCGTACTGTGGTTGGTCCTGTGATACATTTCTAGACATCCTTTTTGCAACTGTTCCTGCCAAAGTTCAAGTTTCTTTTTGAACCCTTGTAATTTATCGGAGCACGTCAATATATTTTCATTCCGTCCTTGCATTTTTTTATTAAGTTCATTCAGATGTTCGAATATATCCGCCATGTATGCAAGTTTGGCTATCCAGTATTCATCATGCAGGTGCTGGCATAGATCGTACATATCTTGACTTGAAAGAAACGCACGCACTTCGTAGCGAAGTTCAAACAGTCGAGCTAAAACTTTTCCCCGGGATAACCAACGAACTTCTGTATAAAACAGTAAGGATTCATGTTCGCTTCCCATTTCTTCACAGAGTATTCCAAAGATTCGCGAATTTAAGGCTCTCGATTTAATTATGTTTATGATCTTAATACATTCATTCATTGTGATCGAAAGCTGTTCGGGCAAATTTTTGACCATCAATGCTTCTCGATGTATGCAGCAATGTGTAATTTGTATTGACGGATTTTTTTGTTTTACACAAGATACAAAACCTTTCTTACTGCCCATCATTGCAGCAGCACCATCTGTACAAATAGCAACGCAATTGGTCCACTGAATATTATGTATTTTAAAAAAATTATCAGTTACTTGGAAAATTTGTTCACCGGTAGTTCTCTCTGGAACCTCCTTACAAAATAAATAATGTTCTTTAATAGAGTCCTCGTCAACGAAACGTACAATAGCCATCAGTTGTGCTTTATTTTTAATATCGGTTGATTCGTCGATTTGAAGCGCAAAAATTCCAGCCGAAATGATTTTTTTAATTAGTGTTCCCAAAATATCACTTGACATATCTTGGATACGTCTTTTAACAGTATCGGCCGACAAAGAAACTTTACTCACGTCCTTAACTTCGTTTGGCCCAAGCATAAGTCTAACAATTTCCATGCATGCTGGTTTAATAAGCGTTTCACCGATAGTGTGCGGTTTTTTTTGTTGTGCAATTAATTTTGCAACAAGGTAGCTTGCTTCTAATGCCTTTTCAGAAACCGTAACCGCCGATTTCATAAACTGCTTTTGTTTCTTATTTTGATCCAAGCGCCGTTGGAAAAATTGAATGTCTTTTTTGACGCAACTGGGATGATTTGTGATCAAATGACGGTTTAGTTTGCTGGGTACCATTGCTTCATTTGACAACTGTTCACCGCAAATGACGCATTCAGGCTTTGGAGCCGCTTCGTCGCCACACCAAGTGAAACCATATCGAAGGTAGTCTTGATTGTACTTCCTTTTCAGCACCTTTTTTGCTCTTTTTGCAGCTCTTATGCTGGAGCTTGTGCTAGGTTCTTCGTTATCTGCTCGTGATTTCAGCAAAAATTTATCCATATTTGAAGCACTATAGTTATTTATAAAAGTAGATACTGCAACAAAACTTAGTCCAGTTCACTTATTTATAAGGCACAAGAATTTATTTATATAGCAATTCACTATTTATTTCACTCTACGATTTATTTGTTTGCCCGCGTATTTATCTGATTCACTTGACTATTCGACTCTCTCTGAGTCTCTGAGCGACGACAGGCGCGCTTATATAGGCAGTGGCGATGTTCAGGAAAACATCGAGTCGCGCCTCGAACGGCACGGATCTTTCTAGTTTAGTCGCCTTCGAGAATCAAGCCGCCGCGCCGCGCCGATAGACGGTTAGACGTTTACCATCGGCGCTGTTGTCAGATTGCTTTATTTTTCGCGGGTCTCGCTACAATACGAATCTGATTCGTATTGTCTGCAAGAGCGGCACACCTCAAGTCGGCTTACGGCACACCAGTGTGCCGCGGCACACCGGTTGCGGAGCACTGCTCTATATGTAACATATAGATCATACTCAAACACTTTATTTATTTTAACTTTTTGTTTTCTTTCCAGTAAGTAGCTTTCAAAGAATTTATAAAGAATTCCTATGACTCCAACATCTAGACTGTCTAAAAGAAGTTGGTGATATACTGTATTGAATGCTTTTGATAGATCTAAAAATACACTTGTAGAGATTATTTTAGCTGTAGAAGTATCTAATATCGTATAGTTTGTAGATTTCCCTTCTCTAACCCCAAATTGCATTGTATTTAATATTGTTACGCTGGTTTTTGGTAAACTCAATTTATTTGAAAACTCATATTTTACCACTATAAACTATGAACGTTATCGTACAACGTCTATCATTAAACTAAACTGTGACGTCAGGATCATCAACTTATATAGCTCCATTGAACATTCTCGAACCTTCCAGATGTTTCCTGACACGGAATGACATTTCTAAACTGTTCTCTCCTTCTTTTATTCGTATTTTTACTTATGACGACCGCAGCACACCGTAGGGTGATAGGTGACATTACACTTCTTTTATTCGTACGTTTCGTATAACTGCAGGATGCAGTGTAACATTATTTTATATAGAACATGTTCAACCTTTTCGTTATAACTTTTTCGATTTTTTTGTGTCATCGGCATCAACTGGAGTTATTAGCCTCATGTTATGTGTGCATTTGCTACTGTTTCCTAGCGCAACTTTAGGAATAGCACTGTTAATGAGAACCAAACAGGGAATGGACGTAGGGTTGCCAACTTTGTTTTTTAATTTTTCTGGACGAGAGTAATAAAAATTCAGGACATACAGTATAAATTCTGAAAATTTTTATTATTG